CTTGATCTCTTGTCCATGCAAAACAATTTTCACTGTTTAGCATCCAAATCTGTTCAAATCAGCTGATTTCAGAACAAGTCGCAGATGACAGGGTTTTCGGGAGTGCGAAGGATAAACATTCCTAGAACGGATATAAAGCAATTCGATACACAATTTTCATCTTCCTTCTGCCCGAAGTTGACGAGGATTCCACTAGCAAAATGAGTACGAGGCTTAACACATAAGTACGACAGCCTAGTCGCCGAAAATGACGTTTGAATGCAGAGTGCTTCAATCGAGGAGACAATAGCGCATCTTGCATCTTATCCGTCTCCCTTAATTGCTACCTCAAAACTTAGGAGAAGAGACAGGAATACACACAGTCACACAGTACTAGAAACCTTGCGAAACAAGAACCAAGATGTCATCGCAACCGATAGAAGTATGCCTAGTCACACGGCCCACATCCTCTTATCCAATCTACCGACTGATGCAACATGGGTAACATCAGCCTTCCGATTGATCAACGAAATCAGAAGCGCTCTAAACGCCGATCCATCTATGCAAATGTCCCTGCTCTCCATAATCAAAGCGCGACCTCAGTAGTTTCAGTCAGCACAGCCGCAAAACGTGTCAAGCACTAGACGCAACCTAAAGAGACGTCAGTAAATCCCTCGAGAACCGTGCTTCTAACATCAACGAAGACGAGGCGGAACTACGGTGCCTTGACACTTATATGCACCAAGGTTCCTGAGTCTAAGGCAAAGTCCTTAAGGGTTAAACAGTTGGATGATTTAAAACAATGTGATTTCCTTTGTGTTAAAATCGCAGTTCAAGTTAATCCGGCTAACATAATGCGCATCACTGGATATCCAACCTGGGATCATTATGGGGAGTCCCGACTAATGTGAGTAACATTTTGATCAATAGATGACGGATGCTTTTATCGGCATACCGCCTGAGGACTGAAAACAGTGGTATACGGATTTCTTCGGATGTTTCATGTAGCCAACTCTAGCAGGACAAAGTAACTCAGAGGAACAACACACGGTGAGTAACGAAATAATTATTTTCGTTTATGGCGTACCCGAGCTACATACAAATATCATCGAAAAAGCCTACGCTCATGACCTGGAAGTATGGCGTTATATCCGTGAAGCTCTCTGTGCGGACGACGTCATACTTCATTCGATTACACGGTTACCCGTGTCGCCAAAGTAGAGAGGAAGTGGCCGTAATGATATTGAAACTAAGGGCACAGTCACAACAGATGGCCGTGAACATAATGCGTAGCCGGCAGTTACTACTTAACAAACTTCCTTCGGAACCTGGATTAAAAGACAGCCGTTAGAGAGCCACGGCCACTCGCTGTTCTCGCGGAAACAACACCATCAGCAAAGGAATATAACAACAACATCGATTCAGAAAGCTGTGCGCTGATCCGTAGCTATTCTGAAGGCTGCCGATGGACTACATACCCTATATGCAAGTGAGAACAAAAACAGATTGCATTTCTAATGTGATTGGGTAATTCACCAAGAAAAGGATTTGGTGCCGGCCTCTCATCGGTCGGAAAAATACAGGTTATTCATGTGCTATTTGTCAACAGCTTTTGACGACGTGTAATCTTTCTCGCATGAACCCTAAATCTCAAGGCATATTGAGTAAACTTAACTTATATGCTGCTGCGTGAATTATCACAAGCAAGCGACCACATCGCTATAAATTGAACATAGTTACGCCCTTACGTATGTGATGTGGATTTTGCACTGTCAGGTATGTATATTGTTCAATACGGCCGACCCAGCAAATTTGTGAGTGGTTCAATACTTGTGCAACGACCTCTAATATGAGCTAATAGAGGATCTGGTCAGCACGGCACAGGAGTTCCGTGTAGTGTCATCTACGTCTTAAAGAGGAAGACACTTGCTTCATGATAGTCATTTAACGTCCTCCTTCCTCCACGCCAAAATTGGACTTGTGGAATCACGAGATGATGACCTCTATACACATGGCATTTATTCGTTCCAATCCAGCTAACTATTGACACATAACCTTATTACCTGTTCTTTCAAATGTTTTGGAAGCCAGTATTTCTGATGCTCTAACGGCCTACTTGGAAGTATTTAACTACCTCGGACCGTAACAGCATGGATTCCGACGAAATCGATCGTACGCTTCAAATCTACTATTATCACGGTCCAGCTGGACTGAAGCAGTAGACTCTGGCAGGTTGGTGATCCACTCCTAGGGCGGATCTGAAGCTTTCTTCTATACCGTCGCCTGGAATTACGTGCGCGCGATTCGCTGTCACATCCCACCCGCGTTGAATGCGAGTACCAGTAAGAGCGGTACTAGGACGGCCGTATATTTTACTGCGACATCACGGGCATCAAAATCTCGAACTGCCTTATTTATGCCGATGACATCAAGGTGTGCAGGGCGATCAATACACAAGGTGATATCACTGTACTTAAAGCTGATTTGTTAGGGTATACGCGTGGTCAATCAACAATCTGCATTGATTCAACGCGGACAAATATATAATGCTGCCCCTACGGCACAAGTTGGTGCACTCCTACAAGCTATGGAACCAGGAGCTTCAAACGTCTTCTGGCGAATAAATCTGGGAGTCTTATCCAGGTTGACTTGGGATATTCGCATTCGACTGAAACTGATTCAAGAAGCAGCATTCAAACATGTGGGCCTCCTGAGACTTGCATATGCCCGATTCGACCCTTCGGATTTTCTACAAATTTTCGGTTCATACATACGACTACGTGTTGGATACGCAATAAAGGATTGACTGCCATGGCTGAGGAGAGGTCTTACCGCCTTGGAGATACCCTAAGCACAGGGAAACGGGAACTTAAACGGGCTGTATAATTCGCCGTATGAACATAAGCTACAAAGTCTGGAGGTCTTCAACGTATACTGTCGGCGATTGCGGGGTGGCCTGATTATGATTTACCAGATTTCGAGCGATTTCAACTACACGTGCCGCTACTTGCTAGAATTCAGTCACAACAGCAGTTTAAGATGCCACCATCTCAAGCTAGAAGAGCAGCACAGTCGTTTGGAATGTTATCCTAATTTCTTTTCCCTACGTGTATGCTGTACCTGAAATACCCCGCCGGGATCTGTCATATGTTCTTCCACGCTGGCAGAGTTCAAAACCCAAGTTGACCGTGTACTTATTTCGCTGCTCCATCTTACATGACCCATTACCCATGGAGAAACACAGGTGTCTGTACAAGATTTCACTGACGGACAAATCCTGGATTTAGTTTTACATTTATCACCTCCTGCATGTGTACATCAGAAGGAGACACGACTTCTACCAGCATCCAAGTTACCGTTATTTCACAAGGATTTACTTTGGATTTACGGGTTTACTACCTATACTTCAGTGAGTTCACTCTGTAAACCCTGTTTGCTAACAATGTTTCATGATTTGCTTTTTCACCATAACCATCCTGCGTGATCTGTTAAGCATTAGCTTTAATACCCGTATGCAACTGCAGTTCCATTTACCCAACGAGCGCCACAAAATGACCCTGCTTTCAACTTGGTATGCAACTAACGTTGTGAGGAATCGAAGAACAAACTCTGGTGCAGACTGAAACGTGATGCTCTCTTATTTCCTGTTACGATGAATGGGTTTGATCAAAGTGTATTGCTCACGATAACTCTAGAATGATCCATCCAGATGAATAGCGAGATGTAGTTCAAGTTGCACAAGTAATTAGCCGCAGTCTGACTCGATTTTGAACCGCCTGCATTCTCTCTAGACCAGCTTGAACCGGCCGCCAAGGTTTAGATGCCTGGATATAACTGTCGCTGCAAAATGGCACCAGTTGACCGCACTTTTCCCCAGCCAGGAAAGTCCGTTATCTTTGAATTTTATATTAATATAGCTGGGCATGTAGCAAGATAAGTAATGGAAGAAAAAAATTCAAATTTGGCATTTTTCACGAGGTTCATCAAAATCGCTCCAAATCCAAAGTTTGGCAAATTGGAGCCCCGCGTATCATTTAGAAGAAATATATTGCCTTAGCTCACTAATTAGTGATATTAAAATAAATCCCAATCCAGTCAGATGGTTTAGCGAACAATTGCCTATACGCCGTGTATGGGAACCAACGGATAGTGATTGTGCTTGACCAGTGATTGTGAACCGAAATTATCTTACCAACCCTTACATTGTGTCCAACAATTTGATTTTATTCGACATTTAAATGTGCAATTATGAAGAGGAATTATTGAAAACCTATGTTTGCTTGCATCGGATATTAATCATTCAATGGAATTTTTTATTCCTGCGCATAATGGTTCTACGGCCGAGTAACGAATATTTGCGTCAATCAGGTTAGTCTCTATCATGGACAGCAGTAAATATTTCCGTATTTCTCAGCTCTAATCAGCCATTCTCGCCATAGAATGTTGCGTTTTTACTCGTCTAAACTTTGTTAAAATTGGACCACGATTGCGAATAACTGGCTTTATGACGTATGCCGAATAACACACAGATAACACACATTGTGATCCAAATATAATAAAGATATATTCACGAAATGGCAGCAACCAATTTGCATCATGTGACTTACACGTTAACCCACAAACAAAGCCAGACGGTTCCTCATAGCTACCCGTCATGTGCTATGTTGCACTGGCCAGTACGGAATGATACATTCACACTACCGTAGGATGGTTCAACCTATAAGTCAATGCAACCAACACCGCATGTGCTCTACTATGGGAGACCGCGAATAACATCTTTCGGGACGGAGGCGTGAAAATCTACCAATCATGCTTTCACTAAATGCTAACGGAGACAAGTAAGTTATTTTCAATAATCGAACTGTGAAGATGTGTCTGCAACTATTCATGTAGTTTGCTGATAAACGTAACTTTGGACTTCAATATAGCTCTAGCTATCTCAAAGTTAGCGTTGCAATTGAATTGGTGTGTTCTGTGATTGCAGCCAAATATTACGGGTAAGCAGCTTATAAATCTTCCATGTGAAAATGAATTCTATTATTTCTTCACATTGAAGTAAAAAGGTGAGTGATATAAAATGTATATTCAAAAATGCGTTTCAAATCATCGAATGCGTGCGACGATGCGAATTGGCCCAAATCTTCGTATCAAACTAAAACAGAGAAGGGAATATATGGGAACAATTCCATATAACGTAAACATGATTACCTTAGATTATTACGTAAATCTTAGTTGATAATTTAAGGACTGGAATTTAACATCAATTAAAATAAAAAGTCATAGATAATGAACAAGCTAACACTCACGTTTATTGCAAGTTTTCATTCTGGTGCCACCACAGGAATTGCCATACTTCGGATACAATGGTATGAAATAAGGACGTAATCTTGCGGACAGTAGGGAGTAGCTTCTTTGCATCACTGTTAGAGCAAACGATAAGGTTAGTGAACCCTCAACTTACGTTGTCTCCTCACTAGTCGTTGCGGGCCAGAACATGATTTGTGTGTGGTGAAACTATCCAACAATTTTGGACTGCTCCATTGCACCATTTATATTTTAGCTGTCGACCTTGTGCACAACGACCTCCAATCTTCCAATCAAGTGCAAGTGTTGCGTGAGTCCGTGAAACGCTTAGTGCTTATTCGCAACTCTGACGTGAGTACGAGTGTATCACCTTGAACACAGAATGGTTTTTCAGATCAGCCTCTGAACTATCAGTGAGACAAAAGTAGCCCTGCATTATTAGTGTCCTTTTGACGTAGTGGTAAGTGTTTGCATCCGCTTTAATTCTACAGTAAATATAATTCTACAAACATGAAAATCGAACAAGCGAGGTGGCTTCTGTTTGCAGCATTGTATTGTGCGCATGATATGGTATTAAATTTTGTCATAGACATTTTTGAGGACAATGTAATATCACCTGATTTTATAGTCCTACCTTCACTATCCGCATATATTATTAGGCAGGCGTCTTCTCCATGCGTTATTTTAATCATTGTCCGGATGACAATTAAATTAGGAAAGCAGTGGCGTAATATGTCCATCTTCGGCATTTATAATTATAATGTAACAATAACAAAACCGGCCTTTACCAGTTAGTCCTTGATTTTTAATAAAATCCTACTTCCATCCACCATGAATTCAGCACATTTGATATTGTCTGGTTGGCAAGCCATTAGGTAGGAATATGTTGAGGTTGACTAAAAGGTCATTGTTGTATGCTCAACTCTTTGCATTCCCCTTTCTTTATTGCTATTTCTAGAGCCACCATTTCTCGTGCGTTTTTAATTCCTACATCCATATATTAACTACAGACTGGGTCCTCCATCAACAGCTATGAAAACGACATCAAGCTCGTCACCATCTCCATTTTTGCCCCTTAAACTTTGGTTTAGTCGAAAATATCCAGTCCACCGTGAAGTGTTTGTCTTGAATTCCATCCACCTCGGTGTATTAGGACCAACATGTGCAATGGACATGGACGCTTTCCTAACCTTCCACTGGACAAACCCTATGGCAAGTGATCGATGGACTGTTACTGAGTGACCGTGATCGTGAGAAGTATCTGAGAAGAATTACGGTCAAAGCATAATGGGAATACGAAACGCAAACAAATGTAGACTTATGTCAACTAAAATATGGTACATATGTAATGCGCATATTTCTGTCACCTAGATTGTTTAGACGTTGGGTCTTTGCGGCTGTAGGTTGTGGTTCTAACATGTGTATATAACTGGTGTTGCATTGTTAAGAAATGGTAACGACAGATACAATTTTATGCCGAGCTGTACAATATATACATATATGTCTCTTGGAATGTCCACCATCCGGTGAAGCCTTCCTTGACTACTACAGTTAATTAACCTAGATTCCCTCTTCTGGTTATAGGGAAAATTGGTTGTGCACACGCTGACACCAACCTAATTGATATCCCTAAATCACCGCTTCTTAACATTAAGATATATATTGTGCGGTTTAGATAGCTTCCTCGGAATATCATTTTGGCAAATTTATTATCGTTTGATCTTATATGGAATAACTGGGGTTGGCTTAAATAACCAACACATTTATCTCCTTAAGAAAGTTACTTAGAGTGCTCCAACGTTTCATCTTCTCCAGTTACTCGTAGACATTGTTTTGACTCGATTGTTTGCTTACAGTACACAGTATAGTTTGCACTGCCATTTCGCCATGATTAGCTGGGGCTACTAACGGTAGGTAGCTTTTCTCTCTCAGCCAATAAGTTTACTTTGAGGTTGAACGAAAGGAAGTTGTTGTTGTTTCGTGTTTAGCAGAATGTTGGTTGTCGAGATGACGATCATTTTATCATGGGCCTGATGATTCGGTTGGCAGAGAGCAAAGGTGCGTGGAGATTAGAGAAGCGCATGACTAATGTCGAATCAGTTATTCCATATACCAACTGATCCAACCCATATGTGTAGATTTGTGAAGGAGTAAGTTGATACTATTCAGAATCACGT